AGGAAATACACATATACCGATGCTGTGCTGGGGCTGTGATGAGATACCCGTGAACTTGTTCTTTGAACGATGCCACATCACGTGCTTCATCAGACCGCGAGGTCGTAGTAGCTTGTCGAAGATCTCTCGAAGAGTAGCACTTCCGATAAGACCGCGAGCTGCTCCAGGGTCTACGATGAGGCCGATGACGTTGACTCCGTTGATGACCGCCAAGTTCTTGAACGGGTTGCCAGAGGCTGGCAACGCTGCAAACTCCTCTGGTTCGTCCTGAATCTGCGATTCGTCCGGTCTAGGTATCAACATCCAACTTGATGACGTGTCATCAGAGCTCGGTGTGGTCTGCTGCTGAGAAGTGGTCCCTGGTGACTGTGCGTCTTGCTGTGATTGATGCTGTTGTTGCTGCCGGGCGGCTGAGATATCCAGACAAGAAGAGCACATCACCATCAAGTGTCCTTTGAATCCGTGACATATGCAAAACAAACGGGAACACGTGCCGCACTTCGCAATCGCCGCTGAGAAACATCTGTAGCAGGTATGAGTAGACGCAGAAACCGAAACTGCGCTTGATGATGCCGAAAAACTTGAGCTCGTCGCGCCAGTCGGCGTAGCTGCTGGGCCTAACCCAGGTGGATGCCATGGTTGTCCCTGTCCAACTGTGGTTCTCTCTCCGGTGCCGAATATATCGTCGTATGCTGATCCTTTCCGTGTTGGTGTTCTCTCTGCCGCCGTCGAGGTAGGTACGAACTGGCACGCTCCTGAAGATAGAGGGGTCCGTGTCATGATGTTCTTGTCGTACGTGGACGTCTCATTTGGTACTGCTGCCTGTTCGTCTGGTTCTTCTTGTTCATGGATGGCCGGCAAGGTCGTGTAGCTTCCATATGCGTCGTCTTCGCGATCAGTGTCTTGATAGAACTGTCGTCGTTGGTCGTAGCCTTTTCCTTTTGATCGGTATCCTTTCTTGCCACGTCCTTTGCCTTTCTGCTGTCGCTGTTGGAAGTCGCTTCTGCCGAAACGTGGAACATCGCGTCGATGATGGTCGTGAGATCCTCGATTGTCTTGATAGCCTCGGTGCCGATCTCGATCGTATCCTTTGCCGTTGCCACGTCTTTTACCTTTGCGATTTCCTTTGCGATAGCCTTTTCCTTGTCCGTAGTATCCTTCATCATACTGCTCGTCAATCTGATACGCGTTGTCCTCTTTCTGATCATCTTTGAGAGGGCAGGTATCTGAATTGTGCCATCTTGATCCACATAGCGTACACTGATCTCCTTGTCGTTTCTTACCTCCTTTCTTGCCGTTCTTGCCGTTGCCGGTTTTGTCGTCCTTGCCCTTTCCTTTGCCGTATGATCCTTTTCCGCGTACATGCTGCCAGTAGTCCTCGTCCGGTGTCGATGGGGATGGAAGAGATGATGAAGTGCCACCTGCTGCTGCGCCTCCGTATCCATCTTGATCTCCATTGTCGTCATACCAATCATCATCTTCATCATACTCTTCGTCGTACCACTCGTCGTAGTACTCCTCATCATCCTCGTAGTAGTTGTCGTAGTCGTATTCATACTCTCTTGTCCAGGAGTCTGAATCTTCCCAGTAGTTCTTATATCCAACGTGCTGTTCGTTAGCTGCCATCTCGTTCTTGCTTACCTTCAACTGCAATTGAACCATCTCGCGCCATCTGTTGAGATCTCCATTGACTTTTAAGCGTAGATCCGCGAGAGTCTTGTCAGCGAATGTCGTCCGTGACCAGAAAAGCCACGCCTTAGCTGACTCGCCCATTTGTAATCCTCCATATCGTTCAGCTTCTTCGTACAAGTGATCCCACTCGAAGAGATATGAGATGAAGTCCTGACTGGAACCCTGACGTAACGTAAAGAATCTGTCCAGTGATGTCCAGGCCAAATCTTGATCGTCCAGTCCATACATCTCAAACAATCTGTCATTCAGAATCTTGATTCCACTGTGCTGTAGTGGGGCGAGTTCGTTGCCTTGGCCGTCCAATATTGCTGCAACTCTTGGTAAACTGACCGCCTCGATGCCACGATAGTTCACAACATTGCCTGCTTGATCAAGTCGCGTCACGCGTAGGTCTTGAGCTGCCCGTAGTGCCGGGCCTTCTAGTCTGCTCATGACCGCTGCGCCGAGCTGGTCCTGTTCCAACCTCGTGAGTCGACTCCATCTCCAGCGCTTCTCGATACTCACGAATTGGATATGCCCGTGGCCGCCAGCCCGGCGGTATGTCCTTAGAATACTGCTTGAGGGAGAGTGGAGTAGTCTGTGGAGAGGCCAACATCTTTCCAACCGAACTTCAGATAAATAAACCGTGTTTGATCCAACTCTGTGTCTGGTAATGTATATCTTGATATACTGAAACAACCCAAATATCAGACTGCACCAGGGGATGATAATCTCGTAGGTGTCGTCGGTGCCGTAACTGTATGTCCTGCGGCAGAGAGAGAGCCAGAAGGCAGGGAGCCGACTGGCTCCGCTACCAAACTCCAGATTCTGATGAAAATCCTGAACTGGAAATATTAAGTTCTTTAAGCGAAAGCTAAATGAACTAATGGCAATAAAGATGATAATCTTTTACTGCTTTGACTTGAGCCAGTACGTTACAGTACGGTACTGCTTCTAGCGTATGAGACAACATGCCTAACAGGTCCTAGACATAATAATCTCAACTACAGGAGAGGGGGGGGGGGACAGGAGAGAAGAGGGGAGGGACAGGAGAGACGGGCGGGGGGGGGAGAGGGCGGGGGGGTGGGGTGGACAGGATAGAGGGGGGGGCGGGGACAGGAGAGAGGGGAGGGGAGGGGGAGGAAAGGAGAGAGGGGGGGGGACAGGAGAGAGGGGGGGGGACAGGAGAGAGGAGAGGGGGTGGGGAGGGGGGGGCCAAGATCATCATCATCTCCATCACCATCACCATCACCATCGTCACATCACTATCATCATCAACATCATTATCAACATCATCACCATCACCATCACCATCACCATCACCATCACCATCATCATCATCATCATCATCATCATCCGGAGCGCCCCGGATCGGCGGCACTTGCCGGAGGCCACTACAATATATGTATGTGTGTATGTATGTATGCATGTGTCTATACATGTAGGTTTGAGTGTCTTTATGCACGTACGCGTGAATGTATGCATGCATATACGTAGGTATGCATGCACGTGTGCACGTATGCGTGCATGTCCGCACATATATGCATACGTCATTGCATATTTATTTATGCATACATATGTATCCATGCAGGTATGCATGCATGCCTGTATGTATGTATGCATGCATGCATGTAGGTATCCACGTATGTGTATACGCATGTGTGTATGCACGTGTGTATGTATGCATGCATGTGTGTATGCACATGTATGCATTTGTGTGCACATGCACGTACACATGTATGTATGTTTGCATTGATGCATGCATGCATGTATGTATGCACGCATGCATGTGTATGTATGCATGCATGCATTTACGTGGGTATTCTGTATGCACGCTAGTCATACATCCATGTATGTATGTATGCGTGTATGTATGTATGTATGCATGCATGCATGCATGCATGTATTTATGTATGTATGTATGCATGCATGCATGCATGCATGTATGTGTGTATCCATATATGTGTGTATGATTGTATGTATTCGTGCAAATATACATATGTACATTCATATATATGTGTATATATATGTACATATGCACATATCTACGTGCATGCTTGTATGTACATATATTTTACGCATACGTCTATACATGCATGTGCGTATGATCTCTTCGTGCCCGAGAGAAAGGCCCTGATTCCCGCGCGTCTTGAACACATACACACCACGGCGGACAATTTTTGACTGTTTTCGGCATCAGGGGCCTGGGCTGTCCAAAAGCGACTCAGGACGAGACGCTGGTCCTGGGGCAGTGGTCTGGACCTCTGGGGGTCCACGTTGTGAGCATACTCATGGCGTCGGAAGCCTGGGGAGTGGGAAGAGGAGCAGGGCCCTTGACCATTTTGGCAGAGAGTTTTTGAATGTTTTTGATAGAGGGAGGGAAGGGGGGCAAATGCGGGAGGGGGAGGAGGGGGAACGAGAGGCCGACGCATGGATGGGAATCCGCCTGAGGTGCCTGGGCTCACATTCTCTTTGCCTGGAGCCCTGTCTTGCCACGGGCGTAAGGGTGTCTCGCCAGTCCCGCATGAAAAGACGGTGGTGCATATCACTCGGGATTGCAAGCCGCCTGGCGCACACTGACAGGGCAACGGGAGCTCGGTCCAGATCAGCACGGTGTCCGGCCGAAGATAGCCTCTGCAGAAGCCAAGGCCCCTCTGTCCAAGGCTCGCTCGGCAGAGGATCTGGAAGCTCGCAGCTGGTGGTGGAACGCCCGTCGGCAAAATCTCTGGTACTCCACCTGGTTTTTTGCCTTGGCATGCAGACGTGGACGCTCGTGAAGCGTCGACCCGCTGGGCTGTGGGCCTCTTCTCGTCGCACCCGGCCACGCCGAGCCGCCGTGCTCCCGAAACACCGCCCTCAGAGAGAGAGCCCTGGCACTGGGCACCCCAAGTGACCGGGTTCGCCTCGTGGTGCTGTCGGCGCTTGCCGTGCCGAGAGAGAGAGAGAGAGAGAGAGAGCACCACGCGACAAAATAGTGCGAGCCTGAAGAAAGCGAGTGAGGGGGAGGATGAGGAAGGGCAACGTTCCCCCCTCCTTCAGGATCTCCGTTCGTCGTTTGGTCGCCCCCACTTCTGTCCTACTGCCGACTTGGTCTTCTTCCCCTCCCCTTGGCTGTTCGCCGGGGTGGAGGGGTGCGAGGGTCCCAGTCTTAATTGACAAGCGGATCCAAAGCGCCAGAAGGGGGTGAGGGATGGAAGACGGGAAGCTGGAGATGATGACGATGACAACGACGAAGACGTCATGGAGGAGGAGGAGGAGGAGGAGGAGGAGGAAGAGGAGGAGGAGGAGGAGGAGGAGGGCGAAAAAGAAGCCGGGCAAAAAACGCTCGCCTGGGCGCCGGCGTTGCCGTGCGCCTGCGCGGCGGGGGCCGCGGTGCGGTACGGAAGCCGCGGAGGCACGCGGGCCGGGCTCGCGGAGGCGCGGGGAGCAGAGGGAGAGGCAGAGGACGCGAGGGGGCGAGAGAGAGATAGAGAGAGAGAGAGAGAGGCGGTCGGGAACTTCTGCTCCGCACGTCGGGGCTGCGGCCCTGGCGCCGCGCTGCGCCCTGCGAGCGGGCGGCGTCTCGCTCGGCTCCGCGGGGGGCCGGGCAGGGCTCGAGGCGCCGCCGCTCGGGGGCCAGGACGTGGCCTGCGCGCCGCGCCGCGGCGCGGTGGCTCAGAACCAGCGCCGCGCGGCACGCTGAGCCAAAGCTCCCGGCCGCAGAGAGAGAGAGAGAGAGAGGGAGAGAGAGGGAGAGAGAGTGAGAGAGAGTGAGAGAGGGAGAGAGTGGGATCGAGCGAGAGGGAGAGAGATCGAGCAAAAGAGAGGGAGAGAGGGAGAGAGTGAGAGAGAGAGGGAGAGAGAGAGGGAGTGAGACAGATAGAGAGAGAGAGAGAGTGAGATCGAGAGAGGGAGAAAACACCAGTGGGAAGCTCCTGCCAGGACGGCGCTGGCCTCCGCCGCGGCGCGCCCCCCCCCCCCCCCCAAAAGGGTGCTTGCACACTCCGAGGGCTCCCGTGCGTCGCCCCACGAGCCCGACCCCGGCCGCCGCCGCTGCCCTCGGGCCGCCCCTGCCCCCCGACTGCTCCCGGCCCCAGTGCTGCGCAAACCTGGCTGCCGCCCTGTGGAAAAAACACACGCGGTGGAAACATGCGCATGTTTACTTCTTATCCCACAGTATGTTTTTTTCCGCCGTGTTTTTTGTTTTTGTGTGTGTGTGTGTGTGTCTTGTTTTTGCTTCCTCTTTGTTTGCAGTGTGTTCTTTCCACAGTGTGTTTCCTCACAGATTCCCCTGGCGCGGCCCCGTCCCCGACTGGTCCTCCGGCCCTGGTGCCGCGCCCATGGCCCGTGGGAGCTCCCTTGGCCCAGCCCTGCCTGCGGTCGGGGCACTTTGGCTTGTGGCGTGTCCCAGCGGCGGCCCTGGCGACACTCTCTCTCGCTCTCTCTCTCTCTCTCACTCTTTCACTCTCTCACTCTCTCTCTCTCTCTCTCTATATATATATGTATACATGCCTTGCAGGCGGATGGTGCGTCGCTCGGTTCCGCGGGTCCTGGGAGGCTCGGGACGGCTCGGGACGTGGAAGCCTGGGGCCTGGGACGTGGTTTGCCGTGGAGGCCCAGGCCAAGAAACACCCTGCCTGCCCCCAGGGTGCCCTGGTTCTTCTTTGGGTTTCGATGGCTTCGCGATGGGCAGCGGGACGTTCCCATGCCGAACATCAATTGACACCCGTGGGTCTCAGGGTTGGGTTTCTAGTGGAAGGTTTCTCGTGGACTAGCCTTCACTGTGCGTGCTGCGCCGAAGCGCGGTGGCCCAGAACTGACGGCGCGACACGCGAAGCCAACATCTCGGACTGTAGAACGGAGGCAGGGTGGGAACACAGTCGGATCCGGATAAAAGTCGGGAACCTCTGCGATTCGGCGGTCCTGAGGGATGCGTCGGGCCCCGCGCCCTCCTCGGAGCGTTCTGGAGCGCTCTGGAGCGACCTGCCCCGATGCTGGACCCGAATTGCTGGCCCGACCGAGCCCCAGACGTCCGACGTCGCGCTTTTCTTTTCTCATGGCGCGGGGCCTCCTGGAGGTCCGGACCCTGAGGGATACTTTTTCCTCCCGAGTCGCTGGTTTCTGGCGGTCCTGGGCCCCAGCTGCAGGCCCAGGAGGCCGAACATTGCCTGAGACCCTCCGTCGTGATCTTCTACGACGCGAGGGTGTCAGGGACTGTCCCAGGACCTGGCTGCCTCTTGGTTGCTGAAGAAGTCCCCTGACTACAGCTGGAGATGCAGGAGGATCTGCAGTCGAAGCTACGAGCACTAAGCGGCTGGCTTGATCAGCCTGGGCCATTTTCTGGCTTAAATCTCGAGAAAGCGTGGCTGTGGCCGCGGGGGGGGGCGATGAGACGACGACAACCTCGCGGCGCGCCCCGCTTTGTGGGCTGCCCCGGGGGCCATGCACGAGTCGAAATCCACGAGCTTCAGGAAGCCCATGAGGCCCGCCTTGTCCTGGGATCGAAGGGTTGGGGATAGCGCCCGCTTCGCCTCCTCCTGAAGCTGACGCTTCTAGCAACAGTGTTGGGATCCAACGCTGCAATCAACCTTGTCCTCCTCCTCCTCCTCCTCCTCCTCCACCTTATCCTCCTCCTCCTGCTCCTCCCACGGACTCCTTCTCCGTTCCATCCTCCTCTTCCTCTTCCTCTTCCTCCTCCTCCTCCCAAAAGCTTCTCCTCATCCTCCTTCTCCTCCTCTGCCTCTGTTTCCGTCTTTTTTTCCGTCGTCGTCTCCGTCTGCGCCTCCGTCTCCGTCTCCGCCGCCGTCTCCGTCTTCTCCTCCTTCTCCTCCTTCTCCTCCTCTGGACCTTCCTCCTCCTCCTCCTCCTCCTCCTCCTCCTTCCCCCCCCTGTTCGTTGCGGTTGGCTACTGTTGCGGTTGGCTATCGTCGCCGGCGTCGTGCTCTTCGTCCTCGTCTTCGTCGCCGTCGCTAGCCGCATCGGCGCTGCGGTGGCGACGCCGCCGACGGCCACAGCCGCCTCACTCCCGGGGGGCTGCCCTCGCCGGATCCCTGGCCCCCACCGGCCCGCCGTGGCCCCACCTGCGGTGCTCTCGCTCCGCGTCCTGGCCCCTCGTGCCTCGCCCCGCGTGTGGCAGCGGTCTCTGCTCGATTCTCGAGGCTTGATGCCTCTCCCTGAGATCCTGAAGTTGCAGTTTTTCACAACAAGTATTTCGCTCAATTTCGGGCCCTGGGACCCTCATAGATCGACCCAGCTCGAAAAATGACGCCAGACAGTTGGGGTCCGGGGCTCCGGGCGTGATTTTTTGCGATGTTGCAGTCTTTTTGCAACGTCGGATCTCAGGGTTGGGCGCTTCTTCTATTTGTCGCGGGGGCCTCCAGAGCAGGGGGAGCTTCGTGAGAACCCCCAAAGATCATCTGGAGATCTCCTGGATTCCATTCGGTGCGCGCACGCTCTCGTGGCCCAGACGGGCCGAATGACGCCCAAAAGTTTGCCCTGAAGATATTCTGTAGGCCCACGCGAGGATGCAGCCAGAAGTCCGGCAGGGAACATCGAGGAAGGGTGTGTTGCTGGTGGTGGCTAAGAGGAGGCGGCGGAGGGGGATCAGGGATGAGGGAGGAGGAAGGAGGGAGGAGGGAGGGAGGGAGGGAGACGGAGGAAGGGAGGGAGGGAGGGGGCGAGAGGGAGGGAGAGAGGGAGGGACAAACTGGGTGCGCTCGCGTCAGAACTGACGTCCTAACCCTCTCTCCCATCCCCTACAATGTCGTATATCTCCTCTCTATTCGCGCTGTCGGATGTCGAGCAGGACAATGATCCTGAGAGTGTACGCGATGCATGGTAGATCACGGCATAGCATGGCGTGGAAGAGCATGGCAGATCGTAGCATGTCAGAGCATGGCGTGGTATTGCGTGGTGGGCCATTACGTCCGCGGAATGAAGCGATCGCTACAGTGGTAGCATCAATGCTAAGGGCCGAAAGACACTGAAATTGGCCGAGAACACGGAAATGGAACCAATGATGAGACGGAAACGTCATTTCGGAAGAACCGGAAGTGTGGAAATGAAACTAAAGACGAAACAACATCGCCTTTCTGGAAGAACTGTCAACATCTGGATTGGAAAACGCACGAGCAAACACAGCTAGTGCAAATCATGTGTGTGTGTGACGAAACCATACGCGGAGGGGGAGCGCGTCGGAATTGAAAAACACATAGGAATGACAAACTAATTGAACCCCATGCGTGAAACAAACAATACGCGGACGGGGTGGGCTACTGTTTCATCAGCTTCGGGGGGGAGAGGAGAGAAGTATTCATATTGTTTTATTGTGGAACAGGAGTAGGAGGAGGACGATGACGATGATGATGATGAGGAGGAGGAGGAGGAAGAAGAGGAGGAGCTGCAAGACCTCAGGATGACAGCCGGGACGTTGCGCCTTTGGCTTTTCCCTCCGAGGTCAACGCGATGACGCTTGCGCGGGGCAGGCCCGTCGCCTCCTTCTCCCCCTCCTGGAGGGCGAGAGAGCCCTGATCCTGGGCCCGGGATCGGTGAGGACGTCCTCCAGGCCGTAGCCAGAGGCCAGCAAGGCGTACGCACCGGTCCTGGCCCAGGATCGGTGAGGTCGCTCCCTGGGCCCTTACGGGAAAGGCGTGCACACGGATCCTAGTCCCAAGCTTGGCCTGACCCGCTTCCCTCCGCGGCGACGTCGAGAGGACGTCGTCGAAACTCTCGGAGGGCCACCGCGGAGGGCCCAAGGGGTTCCCGCGGAGGCCCTCGCGGACTTCTCCCAGGGACCCCGAGCGTACCTCGAGGCCTCCGGAGGTCCAGCACAGGCCCAAGGAGGGACAAGAAACCTGGAGATCCTCGGCCCTTGGCGAAGGCGACAGCGAGCCGCCCACCCGCAGGCCCGCGAGGAGGAGGATGAGGATGAGGATGAGGATGAGGATGAGGATGAGGATGATGGATGATGATGATGATGATGATGATGATGATGATGATGACGAGGATGGAGGAGGATGAGGAGGAGGAGGAGGAGGAGGAGGAGGAGAAAGAGGAGGAGGAGAAGGAGGAGAAGGAGGAGGACCAGGAGGAGGAGGAGGAGGAGAAGGACGAACAGGAAGATGAGGAGGAGGAGGAGGAGGTGGAGGAGGAGGAGGACCAGGAGGAGGAGGAGGAGGAGGAGGAGGAGGAGGAGGAGGAGGAGGAGGAGGTCCCCGAATCGAGCGCTCATGCGAGAGCTGGCCCGCCCAGCGCGACCTCATCGAGTCTGCGCTGCCAACCCACCCCGGGGCGGGCCGCTCCTGCGGCATGCCCGGGCCCATGGGCGGTGGCTCGCGCGAGTACTCCTGGCCATGGCCCTCGTCGCTGGCCCAATTCCAAGCTGGCGCCGGCGCGGTGCGCCCTGGGCCGGCTGGGGCCTCTCTCTGCCTCTGCTCTGCTTCGCTCCAGCTCCCGCTCCCTTGCTCCCTGGCCCCCGCCCTGCTTCCGTCCTCCCTGCGCTCGGCTCTGCCCCCCTGCTCCCGGCAACTGCCTCTGGCTGTGTTCTCTCACTCTTCCTGTCTTTCTTCTTTCTCTCTCTCTCTCTGCCTCTCTTTGTGCCCTCGTCGCCTCCGCCTCGCCTCCTGCAGTACCCCTGCCGCCGCCACTTGCGCCCCCCCTGCCTCGCCTCCCCCACCCGGGGGGGTCAAGGGCCCAGTGGGCGGCGCCAAGCGGATGGAAGAAAGGCGCCAGTCTCAGGATGGCGCGCGTACCTCGCAGAGCTCTGCTGACCGGCCGAACAACAGGACAGCGGGCGCATGGCACAGCTGGCTGACCGACGCACCGAGAACGGGCGGTGTGTCGGCTGAGGGTCGGCTCCTTGAAGATATCTCGAGAGTTGCTCAGGCAAGGCTGGAAGCTGTCGAGCGGGCCCGAGAGGGGCGTCGCTGGATGGTCCGAGCGGGATGCGCCAGGCGGGGGCCTGAGCTGCCCGAGCGGATATTCCCCAGGGGGAGCCCTGACGAGAGCAACTCCGACGACGATGATGTTGATGATGATGCTGCTGCTGCTGCAAATGGTGATGATGCTGATGGAGATGATGCTGATGCTGATGATGCTGCTGCTGCTGATGAGGATGCTGATGATCATGCAAATGGTGATGCTGTTTTTGATGATGATGACGATGATTATGATGATGACGAGAAAACCACGAATAATGATGATTCAGATGATTCTGATGATGATAATGATGATGCTGATGCTGATGAGGATGAGGATGAGGCTGCGGATGAGAAGATGATGATGATGATGATGATGATGATGATGATGATGATGATGATGATGATGATGATGATGATGATGATGATGCTGATGCTGATGATGATGATGATGAGTCTGCTGCTGCTGCTGAGAATCATAATGATGATGACGATGAGGATTATGATTATGATGACGGGAAGGATCATGATGGGAGAGGAGAAGGAAGACGAGGAGGAGGGAAAGGAGGAGGAGAAGCAGGAGAGGGAGGAGGAGGAGGAGGAGGAGGAGGAGGAGGAGGAGGAGGAGGAGGAGGAGGAGGAGGAGGAGGAGGAGGAGGAGGAGGAGGAGGAGGAGGAGGGGGGGGAGCATGAGAAGGAGGAGAAGGAGGAGGACGAGAATGAGAGGGAGGATAACAACGAGGGGAAGGGGTGAGACGAATAGGATGACGATGATGATGATGATGATGATGATGATGATGATGATGATGATGATGATGATGCTGATGACGGTGATGATGATGATAATGGTGACTATGATGCTGATAATGGTGATGGTGTTGATGATGATGCTGGTGATGATGATATTGATGCTGTTGCTGGTGATGATGATTATGATGATGGTGAGGATAATGATGATGCTGCTTCTGCTGCTGCTGATGATGATGCTGATGATGAGGATGCCGATTATGATTCTGATTATGCTTATTCGCATAAGTACTACTACCACTACTATTATTGGTTGCTGTTGCTAGTGTAGCTTTTAGTCTTGCTACTATCATTATCATTACAGTTCGTACTACTGTTAATATCAATCTACGGTAATATGGAAGATAACATCACTAACAGTCATACTTGTACTACACTTGGTAACTCTTATGTTGCTTATTGTTAAGAGGATTCTGTTGATGCTGATGCTCATGCTGATGAGGATAAGGCTGAGGATGATGACGATGCTGATGCTGATGATGATGACGATGATGATGATCATGCTGATGCTGATGCTGATGAGTCTGCTTCTGCTGACAGTGATGATAATGATGCTGATGATGCTGATGATGATACTGATGATTCTGATTATGATGATGACGATGCTGATGCTGATGCTGATGCAGCTGATGAGGATTCTGATTATGATGACGGGAAGGATCGTGATGGGAGAGGAGGGGGAAGATGAGAAGGAGGAGGAGGACGAAGAACAGCAGGGCGGGGGGCAATGATTCATATGCGGGGGAGGGGGGAAAACGAGGAGAAATGATGACGAAGAGGATGGTGAGTGATGATGAGGATGGTAAGCAAAATAGGACAAGATGATTATGACGAAGCCGGATGAGAGGAGAGGGGCGATCGGCACGGAGACGAGGGATGAGGAGGGGGATAATATCATCAAGATGGGGCACAGGAGGAAGCGGAGGAGGAAGAGGAGGAGGAGGACGAAGATGAGGGGGGGAGGAGGGGGAGGAGGCGGCGGAGGAGGAAGAGGACCGATGTAAACCCAAGACGCATCAACGATGTTGCAATCAACCCTCCCTTGAAGTTTTCTCTGCGTAGGTCCACGACAACTTCTTTTCCATTGGAAGACAGCCGTTATAGAATCCTCAATCGTGCCAAGCCCAAACGCCTAAGACTTCAGCACCGCGAATCAACGTGACTGTTGTGTCCTGACAGTGCTGAATCGTGCCAGAACGCCGTTTCTGGGACTTCAATGCAGCGAATGAGCGTGACTGCTGTGTCCTGACTAGCCCAAATCGTGCCAGAACGCAATGCCTGGGACTTCAACCATTTGAATTCTAAAAAACTGTTGCACATGTTTAAAGGTGAGTGTTCGCGACGTTGCAGCGAGAACCACCTTTTGAACATGAACCACCACCCTCCATCCGTGAAGCTGCTGCATCATGTTAACATGAATGTGCACGCCTCTACAACAAGAAACACATCTTGAAACCCGCCCGCCCTCTATGCGTGAAGCTGTTGCGAATCTTAAGACGAGTGTCCGCGACGCTAAAGCGAGAGCCACATTTCGAAAACGACCCGCCATCACTCCTTGAATCTGTTACCGATTTCAAAATCCAGGATAATCAAGGATGGGGAAATCTCAAGCGAAACGCCTGGCCCGCCCTACCAACAAGGCAGGGGGTGCGATAGGGAGGACATGTTTACGAGGAAAAGGGATGGAGGAGGGACGGCGACGGAAAAGACGAACACGACGACGGAGCGGCGTGCGCCAGAGCCTCAGGCCGCGCGGCGAACGACGACGCCAGCGACAGCCACGAACGACGAACGGCCGGCGAACGCGAGCAACGACGAAGATGACCAATGAGGACGGCGACGACCGACGACGAAGACCACAACGACCGACCTAAAACAGTCTTCCGAGCCGCGCCCAGCCGCGGCGACGACGTCGCCCAGGGACCCTCCTCGAGGCGACGCCGCCCACGCCGGGCCCTGGACCGCAGGGCCCTCCCCGGGACCAGACGGCCAGCCCGAGAGCGCTCGTGGACGATCGCAGCGGCCAGAGGGGGGGGGGCCTCCCGAGGCAGATTTTTTTCGGAAGGAGCCCTGGGGCACACACACAAAAAAGTACACACACAGATAACCTGGCCACCGCTCGGACGCCCATTCCCTGTGTTTTTTTCGGTTTCGTGCTTGTGTTCTTCGCCAGATGATCAAGGATGCTCCTCGATGGTTCTCGCCGAGAAAAAGAATCACACGTCCGAGCGATGTCAAGTAACAGGCTTCCCAACCTGTTCCCGTATTTTCTGGGTCTTTGTCTTCCCCCCCCACTTCCCATACTTTCCCATCTGTTCTGGGGCATCGACGGTTCATGGTGTCTGTGCGTTTTTTCCCTCCTGATGTTCGCCGGCGGCGAGGCAGGAGTGCTGCACCAGCGAGCGGCGGTGCCCCGGGGCCCCCGATCCGCGACCTGGCCGGCGTGCACGAGGGGGAACAAAAAGGGGGACGAGGCGGCCGCGAAGGGCAGGAGGAGGCGGAGGCCACTCGGGCGCGGAAGAGTTCGAAGGAAGGGGCCCTGGGACACACAAAGAAATACACACGAATGCGAGGATTCCCCATATCTTCCCATATTTTCTGGGTTTTTGTCTTCCCCCCCACTTCCCATATTTTCCCATATTTTCTTGGGAGTCGACGATTAATTGTGTCTGTGTGTTTTTTCCCCTCCTGGTCGAAGCTGAGCGCGCCGGCGCGGCCAGCAGCGGCAGCGGGGGCCGCGGCAGCAGCCGGGTCGAGACAGAAGACAGAAGACGGTGCAGAAAAACTCGGGCCCCTCTCCCTGAGTATCGCTCGCCTCAGGGCGAACCTCCCCTCCGCTCAAACATTTGTGCCTGGACCCCTCTAGGCATGCTCCTTGGCGCCCAGGACTTTCGAGGATCATGCAGCTGTGGCGACGAGCGGTCCCCCCCTCTAGGAGGCCAAGACAGAGAGAACCAGAAGCAGTCCGAAAAACCGCAGTCCTGGAACCCCGATCGGGACATGCTGCACGATCCGTCGGGGGCGGCGAGCAAAATGGCGCCAGCCCTAAGTTTAAAGCAAGACGTCTCGAGCGGGAGCGCTGGCTTTAATGGACGACCCGCTTTCGGCGGCGAGCAGAGCACCCGTCCTGCGTAAAAACGAAAGCGGTATCGAGCGGGAACGTGGTTGCTTGTAGGGGGTCCCCACGCGGTGCCCGGCGACGGACCTTGCGGTGCCCTCGAACTCCCCGAGGAACGCCTCGCGGGGATTCGCCCCCACGCGCAGCCTTGCGAGCCTGGGAGGCGCCAGGTCGCCCGAGAGACATCTCCGGAGGCCCGCCCCTCCTCCTCCTCCTCCTCCTTCTCCTCCTCCTCCTCCTCCTCCTCCTTCTTCTTCTTCTTCTTCTCCCATCCCTGAGGGGCGGTCCCCTGCGGAGTCCTCTCCTTGCAGCTCCCCGTATTCGAAGTACATGTGCGGTCCCACCGCCAGGCGCCCTCGATGGATATGGCCGAGACCGCGACCTCGCCAGCGCTGCACGCGCCAGATGGCCGCAGCCTGGCCGCAGCCCTCCAGAACAGCTTCATGGGCCTCTCTCGCGGTGCGGAGGCGCACCGCACGTGAGGAGGGTACCCTCGACCAGCTCCCATGCAGCCTCCTCGTCCGATGGCACATCTGGGTAGCGCTCGGGGGGCGCGAGCAT